GAATTACAGGTACTTTATAAAGAATAAGGTTAAAGGAGGTGAAACAAAGCCAAAGGTCAATCTGTTAACAGTCATTGTGGTAAGGGGGTGTGTCTATTACGTGCTGGGGAATACCACACAGTAAAGTCACTCATTGAAATGATGCCTTCACATGCTTCACTGTGTCTTCACCATCTGACTTCAGCAGGGCCTCCATGTAAGTATCTTTTGACTTGAATGACTTTGAATATTTCTCGTTCGATTGTTTTAACTTTAGTTATAAACTTGATATATGTAAGTGAAAGTGAAAGGTTGCCGACTTTCTGACATAATGTTGTCGCAATGGTTACGAGAAAGTTATATGTAATATTATAAGTGTTAGCTCTGTTTACAACAGGTTATATCAAAAATATCTCTTTATATTTCTATTTTTATTGGACACGGAAACATGGTAGCCTAAGTATAAACATATATATGATGTAATATATTAATAATCGTTATATTAATATTTGTATGAGATTATTAGCTGTTCACATAGTTATGTGTATATATGTGTATGTATATATATTATACAGATTAAAGACTTTATTAGGTTTACAGCTCTCTGCAGGTTGCTGGAAATGTTTAATGTGAGGTTTTCATTCTTTTTTTTATCAATATAAGATTCTGTTAACAAGAGAATAATATTAATTTGATAATGACAGTCACCAAAAGATCTTTGTATATATTAGGATTACAATATTACAACATATTTATGGGTTTAAGTCCAAAATAAGGTTGTTTCAAGGTTATTTTGTGACAAAATGTGCAGTTTCAGAGTCGATCTTTATTTACACACAGTATCTAACGTTATTCATTTGTAAGACAGCCTCCTTTGTGTGTTTGCAGTCATTTAATATCCTAGTTTTCCAGCAGATTCTGTAACAACAAAGGCATTAATGCTTCAGGTCTACATTGTATAACTCTGAATATGAGGGCTGATGAAACCAGCACAGCTCAGGGACTCCGGGACAGGGACTGACATTACCTTGAGGGGTTTACCTTGAGGGGTTTACCTGAGAAATAACAAGTTCTTCGGTTCTTAATCTATGTGTTTTCGTTTCACTGTTAACCGGAAGCAGCGGCGGCTGACGAGAAGCTTCCTGGACTCTGTCTGGGACTTTCCATCCGGACTCAATTGCGTAACGGTGAGTGTCTATCTAACCCAGTGGAAAGGGACTCATACTGAACCGCTTCTGTGTTGTCCCCCCTCTGTACGTCTGTGACACCAGAAGCGGCTTTGGTTTCCTTTCTTCGCGCTGCCGAGCACATTAACGCTTTAACGCGTGAAGTTATTAGCGTTAGCGGAGCTAGCGGTTGCCATGCTAATGTCCGTTGGTCGCGTAGAAACTGGTGTCTGTGGGCGGTTGAACGTCACCTAGCAACGTGTAGTTATATGTGCGTTTAAATCGGTTGTTTATCCGGTGGACCTGTTTAAAAACATCTGTATTTACGATGTTCATGATGTGATTGGTGAATAGTGCGACATTAGCAGATTGGAAGCACAACATAATAAAACAGGAAGTGCTCGTTACGTGTTGAGGAAAGTACCGACTCTGCCGAGAACAAATACCTCTTTGTCATCTTACTTTATTTCCGAAAGGTTGGACCAAATAGGTAATGTTGGGTGGATTAACAGGAAACTGGTTGGCAGCGTTGTTAAAGGGGCACTCCGCCGAGTTTCCGCACTTTAGTAGATCAAAAACATAAAGTGCATTAAAAGACATTTAGAAGGCACAAAGCAGAATGATCTTATTGGTTGCATTGTGGGAAATGAAGTACCCAGTGATAAGGAGATTGTGGCCTCTGTTGCTTTCCTTTAAGGATGTATCTCCTGTGACTTAATACTAAATCACAGGAGTACATCTGTAATTGATTCAAATGGCCGAGCAGTTTATGTTTCTGGACTCTCAAATGTGAGAGTTTGTTGCTTTTCTGTAATCTATAGCTGGCTTTGAGTGTTGGTAATTACTTTTTATACATATGTTGCACTGGAGTTAGATTTAATACAGTTTGACAGCAAAACAGATGATCTATCTTTTTGTTTTAAAACTATAAAACGTATCTTAAGTGAGATACTCAAATAATAAAGTCTGATAGGAAAGTAAAGAACATTAATTTGTATAGATTTGAACGTTGCTGATTGTAATGACGAACCTGCCAAAGGGTGTATGACTTCAAAACGCACACAAAAAAGTTAAAGTCCTCCATGAAACGTTTCTATATGAACAAAATTCAATGTTTTTCAATGCTGTTTTTTGTCTTCCACAGGTCCTGCTCTCATTAAACAGAAGAGGGACGTCCATTATCCTTACCAAAGGAGGATAAACATTTTCTTATTGGGTTCTTACTATTCAATCATGGAAGCTTAGACGCCTACAAAAGGGATGTCCGAGATGGGGGGAGGGGTTTGAGAGCACACATCCCTTGGTCTGTCTGTCTGTGTGCGTGTGTGTGTGCTTGAGACATTTATTTAACTTATAATGTTCGTACACGTAATCACGTACCGTATGTTTCAGTTTGACCTATTAAAAAAGGTATTACACATGTCTTTGCTCAATATACAAGATAATAAAGTGTTTACTGATCCTGGGTGATCTGACCACAGTGTAATGTTACCATTATTGATTTGAGGGTGCATTTTAATTACGCTGTTTAAAATAGTCCATCCTTTTGCGCGGCACATGTTCTGTCGGACACACATCCACTGAGACTGTAACTGAGAGAGAAAGATTGACGTTTCAGCAGCAGATTGTTGTGGGGTAGCACCCTCTACTACGTACAGGTAAAATGGATCCAGGTGTAAAGTATCAGCTGTGTGCAGGGAAAAAGATGTTTGAGGAAAATAAATGACCAGTGTGTCCTTGGGAACCACCTGCAGTTTGTATTCGGTGCTGATGGTGGTGGTTCCTGGTAGTTTTGTTTCTTCTGCACTCTTTTAAGTTTCACATTTGCCCAATCCTCGCTTCCTTTTTCACATTTTTTGTCTTTTGATTTGATCCTCGCCCCCTCTGTCTATTTTACTGCTGCCTGTCTCAGTGTGAGTGAGTGTGTCTGTGTGAGAGAGCAAGACCTTGGGTTTTCTCAAACCCCTCTCCCTTTGAAGGACATCTCTTTTGCCTTCATATCGCTCTACATAAAAACAAATATGGAAACTCTTATTCAACTCAAAAACAACCAGTTTTTGATGGGGTTGTGTCGCAACGGCCCTCCTCCCGACCTGCAATATGATAACTCCTCAGGTACCAATCTGTTTTTTATCAGAGAAAATATTTCAGATTTATTTGCATTTATTTTTTCATGTGATCTTCTTATATGTTCGAATCTCACGCAGATGTTTCAATGTGGTGTTGCTTTCATCCCCAGAGCTCTACCGCATCTCTACCTTTGCTCGATTCCCAACTTCGGGAGTCACAGAGCGAAGTCTGGCGAGGGCAGGCTGGTTCTACACCGGCGTGGGCGACCGCGTGCAGTGTTTCAGGTGTAACGTGACGGCAGAGGGATGGCAAGCCGGGGACTGTCCAACAGAGAAACACAGACAGCTTTCTCCTTCCTGCTCCTTCATCCAGAGCCTCCCATCTACAGCCAACCTACTCTCCTCCTCTCACTCCGCCTTCTCCCCACTCCGCATTGCCCCGGCCATACCAGTAAGATCAAAAGAAGTGTCTTAAAATGAATTACATTCTACACTTTGTGGAAGAAAGTTCATCCTCTACCTTTAAAACAATATCATAGCTGAAGAAAAGTAATGAAATGTATTTTTCTTTTCTATTCGAGAGCACACTTGTTATCTGTTTAAATTCTGAATATTTTGCTTCTTCCAGCTTTCTGGTCCAGCTGCTCCTAACCCGACAGCAAGCCAAGGTGAAGAGCCGGTTGGATACCTAAACATGGGCTTCTCTGCTCCACCACCCTCTAGCCCTCTTACTTCTCGTGGTGTAGAGGATATGTCCCACCAGAGACCGACGTGCCACAACCCCAGCATGCGCAGAGAGCAGGACCGCCTGGACTCCTTCCACCCCTGGACGCTCTCCATCATAACTCCTGCTGAGCTCGCCAAGGCGGGCTTCTACTACCTGGGCCAGGGCGACAGAGTGGCATGCTTTAGCTGTGGAGGACAGGTGTGTAGCTTCACGGGGACTGACAGAAATGGGCAGCAGGCTACAGTACGTCCTCCTTAACAAACACAGGCTGTACCATTCAGGATGAGTGTGTGTCAGGGTGATAATTGTTTGAACAGTGGACTTGACAGAAGTTTGTATTTGCAGTTGAGTAACTGGGAGCCAGGCGACCGAGCCGTGTCCGAACACCAGAGGCATTATCCAAACTGTCGTTTTGTGCGAGGGGACAGAGCTGACAACGTTTCGCTGGCTGGAGCTGCGTCTGGGGGAGTCACTTCTCAACTGCCTGCAGGAGCTCCAGCTCTCAGTAACGTTTCCAACCCTGCCATGCAGCAGAGCGAAGAGAGGCTGCTCACCTTTGTCAACTGGCCGTCCCGTATCCCCGTCCGGCCTGACCAGCTGGCTAAAGCTGGCTTCTACTACGTAGGTAAGGATAATATCAAAGAGACACAGTTATTCAATGACAGCGACCTGATAAAGTTGCTCCATATCAACTTTATATGGTGATAATATGTTAGCATTCACAAATTGTTGCACTCTCTCCCCGAGTGGTAAAAAAAAGTCAGTTAATGCTGCTTTAAGGAGTAAATATTAATTCAAAACTGATTTGTCCCTTCCCTGGAGAAAGAGGAAAGTACAATGTTTGAGAACGTTCTATAAAGACCATAAAACATAAGCCATCCCCCAAAAAGTATAAATGATGTTCTCTTTTTATAGCAGGTCCTTGTTTAGGATTGAGGGTCATTATTTTTATTTTTCTAAATCAGAATTAATACTAGTATTTAAATCATAAAGCTGTCATTTAAAAAGTTCTCCAAGTCTTACACAGAATTTATTCAAAATGTTTAGATGAATAGAAAGAAGTCATTTCTTTTCCATTCCTTCCCTTCGGGTCTTGATGCCAGTAAGAGTCTCTCCCCCTGTTTGGGGCTGTCCACTGCTGACAGATCTTTTTCAGTATCAGATATTTTTTGTTTGTTTTCATTAGACCTGGAAAGTCCTGACAAAAATGTTTTAGGGACACCCGTTTATGAATGTGTTCTCAATCAACCGTGATCCATTCACTACTGAAAGTTAAAGTAAAAGAGGAAATGAGAGCTGAGTAACGAAACGTGTATCAGATTCACCATGCTTTTTTTTTTCTTTCCCTAAAAAACCCCCCAAAACCACTGACAGCTCTTTGTTCACCCTCAAGGTCGTAATGATGATGTCAAGTGTTTCTGCTGCGATGGAGGCCTGCGGTGTTGGGAGTCCGGAGACGATCCTTGGGTAGAACACGCTAAATGGTTTCCTCGGTAAGTGCAGCTGTTTATTTTTTGTTGTTGTTGTTGTTGATTGTGTAATTTGACTCAATGTGCACTTTGTACCGTAGGAAAAGGCCTGCAAGACAAATATTCTGATGGCATTTAGACGGCTCATATGTTTGTATGTGTGTGTCTCTGGTTAATTGCAGGTGTGAGTATCTGCTTCAGGAGAAAGGACAAGAGTTTGTTCACCAGATCCAGGCTCGCTTCCCTCGGCTGTTTGAGCAGGTTAGCAGAGAGCAGCTTCAAAATCTGTTCTCGGTTTAAACATGTGGTGCAAGTAATTTAAAAACGCTTATTTTTCTGTTTTCTC